ATTTGTAACCAATACCCACAGCTGCATGACTCTGCGGCCTTGAAAAAATGATGTCATTTGAACTTTCAACAAAGTGCAACCACCTCTATGCATTGCACCATCATGTATATGATGTGCATGCATATACACACAATCTGTAAATGAAATTGGATAGCGATGTGTATGCTGTACATGTATATGTGTGTACAATTTTACATGTACATGTACAGGTACTTGTATGATACGTACATATTATTATTATTTATTCATGCCATACAAAAATATACATCACAATCAGGATGGGTATTGGGAAAACAAAAGTAATAAAAATCACTACGGTCGAGGACATCCCACATCCAGATGTGAAAATTCAAATTCAAATTGAACATTGCACATTATATAACACTTTGTACATAAAGACAAGACAAAACAAAAGGAAGCAGTACAAAAAACAACAAAACGGAATATACCACACAAGGCAAGACAATTAAGACAGGACATAAAGGACAAGACAGGACAAAGGGAGCAGTAGAAGACAAAACAACAAAACAGAATACAAACAAGGCAGGACATGACAGCACATGCACGACAGCATACGGAAAAACCAAACGGGAAGAGAAGAAGTAACAACGCAGGACAAGAGAAGACAAGTATTAACGCAGGACAAGACAAGACAAGACAATGCTCGATGGATGTGAAAATTCAAATTCAAATTAAACATTGCACATTATATAAAACTTTATAAATAAAGACAAGACTAAACCAAAGGGAGCAGTAGAAGACAAAACAACAAAACAGAATACAAACAAGGCAAGACAATTAAGACAGGACATGACAGCACATGACAGCATACATAGTAACAACTCAAGATAGACAAGACAACACGAGACAAGACAATGCATGACAGACATGAAAATTCAAATTAAACATTGCACATTATATAAAACTTTATAAATAAAGACACGACAAAACAAAAGGAAGCAGTAGCCTACAAGACAAAACTACAAAACGGAATACCACACAAGGCAAGACAAGACAGGACACAACGGCACACGACAGCATACAGAAAAACCAAACAAGACAAGAGAAGACAAGTATCAACGCACGACAAGACAAGACAATGCACGACAACAAAATGCAAAACATGACCAGACAACACACTGTAAGACATACATGTAACAAGACAAGACAAAACACGACGAGACAACAGAAGACAACACAACACTTGTGTGACAGCACACAATAACACAAGACAACGGCCAAAACAAGCAATGAGTTAAAAACATTACTAGTGCTAAAAACCTTTTAAAAAAGACAGGATAAAAAAACAGGAGCCTTAAACTGGTTTAAAGGATAAAGAATAAAAACAGTATAAAAATGGACAAAAATATGACAACATAATTAAGGCAACATCCGTCTAAAATGGTTCTTTAATTATGGCGGATTAGATTAAAATTACATGTGCAGACAAGTACAATTTTCTCACCATATGTTGTACACATGGTGCATGTTACACACGCATACAAATTTCATTTGCAAGTTTTTATAGATTCCTCGTTAGATAAACTTGACATTCATATTAAAGGGAATGTACGTGTACTGTACATCATTGGCTTTTGCTGTTATTTTTAAAAATGAACTATTTGAGGGGTTGGTATAATAGATCAAATATTGTTACACTGACATGTTTGAAGTTTTGTGTTCGAAAATGCTGGAAAAGCCAAGAAAAACAAAAACGTTCAAGTAGTCTGGTTCCATGACTCCACTAAAGATGAAATGGATCAATTTATAGATGCCGGAAAATTGTTAGGTCAGGGAACCAGTCTAGCTAGCCTGCACCCGTTCATGAACATGTAACCAATAGCATACACAAATTTGACTGAACAAAATGGTAAATTTGGAGCAGTAGTTGAAAAATAGTTAGGTTTTTCCAACGGTGGTCGGCCGACCACCGTTGGAAATTTATACAAAAATACCATTTTCTTGAAAATGACTCGACACCAGGTGCCATAATTTTACAGGATGCTTGTCACTGTCATTAACCAACATCCTAGTGAGGTACTGTATTTCGTAAAAACTTGGTAGTTTTATTTGTCGATGTTTGCAAATGTTTTTTATTTCTTTAACGTACATCTACATGTACATGAATTTTCTATAAATTGTTTTTAAACAATGAATTATTTAATCCAAAATGGCCGAACTGATAGTGAGTTGCTTACATGTACCACGTGCTCTTCAAGAAAAAGAAAAGGATTTTTTTTCTCGCCGGCAGACTTTTAATTTGTATGTTTTGAGTTAAAAAGAAAACTACTTTATTCCAATTTTGGGCATCTGCAACCCTCTGAAAAGTACTTTATTCCAATTTTGGGCATCTGCAACCCTATGGAAAGGGGCTTTCATTTTGCACACAAATGAACCCACCATGCGAGGCCGAATTATTGTCTGGCACTGGCAGCCAATAATTCAAATGTTGTGAAAAAAATAATTCAATAAACGTCAGTGGATTTTTGTTCGTTTGATGTCTCATTCAAAAGTGAACAGCTACCGGTACACATGTTATATTGATAGGAAAATCATATTTTTTCCCCTTGGAGATCAGCCTGAACAATTTGCCTGTAAATTGCCGTGGGTGTTATGACCCTTTGAGAGTTGAACACGTAGGGAAAGAATCCAAAAGTATAATTTCTAAAAATATTAGAAAATGGTCTTTAGACACTTTGGCACGAATGGCTTTAATTCAGTGGCCCAGAACGTCTCTTGGCGCTGGAACAATGATGTATGTATGCATGCTATACGCATGTTTGAGAATGAAATACACGTCAACTTTATTTCCCACGGATGTTTAACGCACCTGTCACCGAAAAAAAATTATTATAAAAAAAATGAAATAAACGTCCCACAGAATGAATTGTCTGCATAACTGCCACTTAGAAAGAAAAGAATGAGAAAAACAGAGTAAATGATTGCCCTTTGAAGACGAACTCCAACAATGAATGAAAAAAAAAATGCAAAAAATGCTCTAGATATTGGGCACCATTAACCACTGTTACCCCCAGAACTCCTTATATGGCGGATTTTTATTCTTCAAGTTCGAACCTTCTTGAATCCTCTTCAAAGGACATCAAGTGATGAATCCGTCCAAAACATGCAAAACTAGTATTTTGGGATATTTTATGATGTCCTCTGCATAATCTGCAGAACTGCAAATTTTGACGCAAAATTACGGTAATCACGCAAAGTGGCAAATTTTCTTAATGTTCAGTGACAAAACTAAAAGGGGATAAAACAGGGTGTCCTAAAAAAAAGTTGTGCAGGCAGCTACGTGTACATCTATCCTTTAATTTCTCAAAATCTACTTAACATGAGTATTTCATCGTCATGGAGAATATTAATTATACCGGTAGTCTTGTGTATAATCAGTGAAAATGCCATGGAAATCCGTTCGTGTCTAACACATTGTAAAATTTAAGGCTATGGGTTTTTCACCCAATCCAATGGGATTTACCAGTACACAGTTAGTGATAGTGCATCAGATTGTCATGAACCTTTTCACTCTGATGTATCGTAACTGTGTAAATCCCATCCCATTGGAATGGGTGAAAAACCCAGCAAAGCCTTTTATAATCTGTTAGATCTCTGGATTGCACGAACGGATTTCCATGGTATTTTTACTGATACACAGCTGAGTCATGGGCGTCGCCAGGATTTTTTTCTAGAGGGGGGCAAAACATATTTTTTACCCAAAAAAATCTTGTAGGGCCTATTTCTCAACACTTTCTCGAATCATCAGTTTTAGAGGGGGCAGGGATATTTCGCCCCCCCCCCTCCCAACCCATTAAATTTACACCACTATGACTTTGCGCCTCTTTTTCTTTTCTTTTTTTCTCTTTTTTTTTTTCTTCTTTTTTTTCCCTTTTTTTGTGGCTTTTCCGGGGGGGGGGGGGGGAGCGCCCCCCTTGCCCCCCCCCCCTCGCGACGCCCATGCACAGAGTATAATCAATATGCTCCATCAAGATGAAATACTCACGTTAAGGAGTTTTTGAGAAATTGAAGGATATCTGATTGCACAACTTTTTGGGGGACACCCTGTACCGGTACAGTGACCAGGCCCCTTACCAGTTTTAGACATCACATATTACAACTGCTCCTATCCCCATTCGATACCTTTTCAATCAAAAGCCAGTCCGTTGGCCTTTTTAAACCAGTTCATGTACCGGTATACCCTAGGCTTTTTTGCTAGGATGCATCCTCAATCCTTCAAAATCATCTGTTTTTTCTTGAAGTAGTTCATTGAAGGGGCGACCACTGCCTCAATCTTGCAAAATCTTCTGACAATCACTGTTATACGGTATGTTGTGGCAGTGCGGATGCTATCCAGAAGCAGTGCAAATGATTTCAAGTAAAATATAGGCCTAAATTTAAGCATGGCCAAGCATAAACAACACAAGGTACATGTATGTGTACGGTACAGCCTTAGACCTTGACACAATACATCCTCCAAAATCAACGACACATTTTTGCCATGCGGCCTCAATCCTTCAAAATCCTCCATTTACCTATGTACAGAGGATTTTGGAGGATTTGTGAAAGTTAGGGTTAAACATTGATATTAACATGTACATGTAAACACTAAGCAGTGTTTTTGCCAACCGCTGTTTAAACCACGTAATGGGCTCTCGACCAAAAGGAATGGGTAAACTGTCTCAGGTTTTAATGAATATACATGTATCTTGTCAATAACAAATGCTTTTAAGACAACAACTGGACAATGACATGAATTACATATGTATTTTCAAATGTTGTAGAGAATATATATTTTACGGGGTTTTATCCCAACGTGGTTTGCTGGTAAATATACAATATTGTAGTCACTTCCTCAAAAACAGTGACTACATTGTCCATGTAGGTTATGTTAAAAACATGCAGTTTTAGATCTGAATTCCTCGTTGTCTTATTGTGGAGTCATTGTTTGAACTTATAGTCTCAAACGATGTTTCGTTTCTTTGTTTCTGTTTCTGCAGGGGTTTTTCCGCCGCTGCCTACGGAGGCAGAAGGAATACGTCTGCGTCCGCGGTGGGAAGTGTGAGGTGAGCCGGAACCAGCGGAACCGGTGCCCGGCATGCCGGTACACCAAATGCACGGAACTGGGCATGTCCAAAGATGGTAAATTATGGAAAATGGTGCTCTCTGAAAATAACTGAAGCAACTTGGGCAATTCACAATGCAGTGCACCACCAAGAGTTTGCCACGGAGAGTTAGTTTTTTTCCCAGTGCATTGTGGGAGATGGTTGACAAATTCGCGGCGCGGGACATTTGAAATTGTTAGTTTTTACAGTCAGCAGTTTCGTAAGCGTGTGAGTCGAGTACATGTTTGCCCTTTTCCTTTTCTTTTTATCAATATGGTGTTTTTTTGTAAGGGGGTAGAATGCTATGCCCCAGTGTGTAACAAATTAGCTCAAGTTGTACTGACAAATGACTGACACTCGTTAAAATGGGCCATGTTTTGTTGACTGTAAAGTTGAAAAATGACTCTCCGTGGCCTAACTATTGGTGGAGCACTATACACCGTGAATCGCACACATTGAATTATAGGGCAAAGAGGGACAATTTTGGGGCAACAATAGATTACATTTGAATTTTGAAGGCTTACATGTCATTTAGAGAAAGTTTGTGGGTGCACCGTGTGACAAGAAATCTCTTTTGTGAGTTTGTGAGGTTCAGAGTTTCCACCCAGGCCCAATTTCATAGCTCTGCTTAACAGCTGATTTAATGCTAACTGTGCCTTTGTCTGTTAAAGAGACTATCATTAAGCACAGTGAAAGCACACTTAAGCCTGAGGAAAAAGTTGCTTCAATCAGTGACGTCAAAATAGACATCTCCATGCGCGTGCAATCGTTAGCACTTCCATGCCATGAAATACGGTAGTGCTGAAATTTCAGCAGCACAATTTCCTGCTATAGTACGGATATGTTGTAAGCACAACTTTTCTGCTAACTGTTAAGCATGCAGCGCCATGAAATTGGGCCCAGTTGTTTTTGTTTTTGGTGTTCTTTTTAGGGGAGGGGATTATTTCGAATAGTCACAAAAGAGCGTTTGTTTTTGTTCTGATATTTTCTGATAAATTCACAGAAATTTCCAAAAATATGTGTCACTTGGCACATCTTTGGAAGTGACCTTCTTTTGTTGTTTTTCTTCAAAACGACAGCATGCCCTATTGTCCCTCTTTGTTTGTACTTAGGAAGACCTCCCATACCGGTATGTTTTGTACACATTGCCAAATTGGGGACTCTGTTGTCCTCTATTGTTCTACGGGGGTCATAAGTCCGACGCCTCATAGGTCCCACGCCTCATAAAGTCTGAAACTTCGGACCTGTGAGGCGTCAGACTTATGAGGCCACGGACTTACGAGGAATGAAATATATTTATTCCGCCTCATACATGTAGGTCCGATGCCGCATCAGTATGATGCCTTGTAGCTCCGACGCCTCATAAGTCCGAAACAGCCTTTGTCCATTGTCAGACCTACCGGGAACGAGGTGGAATTTACATGTATGCCTCATAAGTCCGACACCTCATAAGTCCGAAATTGACCTACCGGTATGAGGCATCGGACTCATGATACGGCCCTGTTCAACGTCCCCTATTGAATGCAGAAAAAAAGTCATACATGTACACACCCAAGTGTGTATTTGCCTGCAATCGGGGACCCCCTATTGCCCCTCTTTTGTTTATACACTAACTTTTTAGGAAGACCTCCCCTATGTTTTGTACACGAATCCAAATTGGGGACCTCTCCGGAACTGGGGACCCTATTGTCCTCTATTGTTCAACGTCCCCTATTGAATGCAGAAACAAACTCATTCACATTCAATTGTGTACACGCATTGCTGTATCGGGTGCATACCTATGTTCCCCAATACTGATGTTCCCCAATACCGATGTTCCCCGAAATCCTTACCCTATAACCCTAACCTTAGCCCTTACCCTAACCCTAACCCTAACCCTAACCCTAATCCTAAGGATTTCGGGGAACTTCGGTATTGGGGAACATAGGTATTGGGGAACATCGGGTAGACCCCGCTGTATCAACTTATGCACAGTTCAGCAGGAAAGTCCAATCATTTAACAAGTCATTTTTCATGGGATTAATTTGATTTGTGTGTGTACTCTGTGTATTAAAGGGAAGGGAAGGCTGGAGCTTGTTGAGTTACATGTACATTTTACATTTGTCAGACTGCCTCGCTCGGGTGGGTTCCCATGCACTGGGTTTTACCAATTTTATTCCAGATATTAATACCGGTATATCAGGGTTCTTCCAGATGGAACAAAACACAGATGATATTTTTGCATTTTACCCAACCAAAGAAAATCATGAGTAACATTTGGCCACCAACTTTTGACTTATTGATCAGGCATGCCACTTTTCCTCGGATCTGCAGATTTTCTCAGTTTTTTAACTTCTCATGAATGCCATTACAAATTGAAAAAAGAAAGAAATGTACAATACATGTAAGTCTTGTGTGGTTCTGACTTAACTCCTCTTCTTCTTTTTTTTTTTTAAAATAAATCCCCAGTTGCATGCTTGATTGATAATAAAGTTACTCTGCAATGTACATGTACTGGTACATACATGTACATTGTGCGTACCTTGTGAAATGCAAAACATTCAAAACAGTCATCACTTTCACCCAATTCATATTTTTTTGTATACATACATGTATAATGTTACAAAGAGACCATGTATCCTGTGACGTCAAACCGACGAGCAACCCAAACAATAATAATATTAACAGGCGTTAATTAATATTAGGAGTCTTATATAGCGCACGTATACCAACAATTAGGTACTCAAGGCGCTGGAAATTATGTCTATTATTAAAGAAAGGTAAATAAAGTATATGAGAAATATGAGACCCATTATGTACAGCACCTTATAAGGGTTGACAAGGTGCTGCGGTGCATATTGCAGCCACTGCCAGAAACACAGGGGCAAACCCCTTCTCTAACCGATAAGTGTTACTGGGTTCTTTAACGTGCATTACACAACACACGGGACCTACGGCTTTACGTCCCATCCGAAGGACGAAGCAATAATGGTAAAGTGCCTTGCTCAGGGGTGCAAGCACCATGTTCCCACGGTCAGGACTCGAACCCATGTACCACAGCACACGAGTTGAACACCGTAACCATTGGACCACAGCACCCCACATGTCAGTATCTTTTGTGTGTTACATGTATTTTAAAAGCCCACATGAACCCATCTTTGCAACTGACATTCTGTGCCAAGTTTTCCTTGCAGTCAAAATCAATCAAGTGACTGTTTTTAACCCGTAAGAATTCCCAGCCTACATAAAGCAGGATTGACTGCCTGGGACTGCTTAAGTAACTTGATACAGCTATGCTTTGACTCCGGGTGAGTGATAAAACAGCTGTGACCACAACTTGCTTGCTTTGTCTGTTGACCCAGTTCGACTAGACACAGTGCTTGCTGTGAAGCAGGGGAAGCAGAAGTGCATTTTGACTGTCTGTGACTGCTTAAAAAGCAGGACAGTTAAACAGTTTAATGTATGTCACCACTTTGACACCAATAACAAAGAGAATAGTTTGCTGAAAGTTTGCTTGACGTGACAACATTAATATCCAATTTGCAAACAAATGCAACATGGTCTACATATTGTCAAAATTAAGTACGGAATAAATTTACTCTTTCCAGTGTTTTATGAAAACCTAATAAGGGAAGAACTTCCTTTAAATTGTTTTTGTTTGGGTGGGAAAAACTGAAATGAGTATTTTTATTGGTTATTGACATAAGTTTACAACTCTCTGTAATTGTTAAAATGATAATTTTACAATCTTTAATTGTCAGACTGAATTGAAGCTGTTCACTTATTGCTCCGTGTTAATTCTGCCGTCTGTTCCCAGGAACTAATGTGGTTACAATACTCTCATTGGTTAAAGTTTATATATTTTTGGGGGTTAAAGTTGCGCTTCATTCAACATGTTCAACAAATCCAATTTCTTAATGAATACATTTCAATTTGGATATTTTATTCCAACCAAAAAGCCTTCTTTTTACTTTTGTGGATGTCTGCAACCCTCTGAAAAAAATAAATAAAATGTTTTGGGCACAGATCCACTTTGCGAGCAGGCTGGCTCCTGGTCTGTACGTTACGGATATGGGGTGGGGACCAGCCGATACTCCGCAAGAATGGAATTATTGTCTGGTAGCCAATAATTTGAAATTGTCAAGTACATTTGTACATGCATTTAATAATTCAAAATTACTAAACATGGGCCGATTTTTCTTCTGTCAAAGTCTCATTCAAAATTGAATACCTTTTGTATTGCAAAAAAAAAAGCAATTTATAAACCTACATGTACACGTTGTTACACAAAAACCTTACAGTCGAAAACCACTTGATAAAGGTACATTTGTATATTGCATGTGAGCTTTGGAATATTTTCAAATTACCTCTTCAAGTCAGATAACCAATCTACCATACAAACTTTATTTCATTCAAATCGATGCATTCTACATGTATACTTCATCGAACTCCAGGGTTGAAAATCGTCTTGGGCCACTTTCCTTGAAAGTGAGAAAGCGCAGGTTTAGGGAAACACTCAACAGATTTAAGAGTAACGTGTGACTTATTCTACCGGCTTTGATCTGTAAAACTTGATAAATAATAAAAGTGGCCAAAGTGGGTTTTTTTAAGTCCCGTATTGTGATTGTTGTATCGTTTGAACAAAACATCCCAATGAAACCAACCAAAAAGCATTTGGGAGACCAATTATTCTACTCAGCAATACATTAGATACGATTTTAAATACTACCCCCACTTTTCTGAAAACGTGCCCAATTGGACTGTTAGATTTTTTGGTGGGACAAGGAATCTACCGTGTTTTTCAGGATAAAACTGGAAAAATAGCATGATGAATGCATCTTTATAAAAGTGGTTCACCTTTCTTGTTTTTTCTTTTGGGGCAGCGGTGCGGATAGGGAGAATTCCTAACAAGCAGAAAGAGACGGAATTTGCCGACATCCAGCCTTTCACAATCGAGGCATTGCAGGAGCACGACGCGGACCAGTCCACACCATTAATAGAGGCGGACCCAGAGACCACGCAGCTGATTGAGAACGTCGTCAAGGCCCACTCAGAGACCGCCAAGAATTATGTAAGATTCTTTTGTCCCAAATGCCATTCCTGTACATGTGCCGCAAGCCAGGGGCTGATTTCACGAAACGCTAAGACGCGTCTTAGGAAGGGTAACTTGTCTTAACTCATGACTTATCCTAGGATCGATTTCACCAACCCTAGGATGCATTCAACACCGTGACGTCCTCACTTCCTTAGCTATGCGGTTGAACTCATCTTAATAACTCAAGATCGGTCTGAGGGTCGTCTTATCTCATTAATGCGTACGTTAATTTGTATATCGTATGGAGATCAATGCCTTTAAAGACGAGTGTCGTCTTAGAGTAACAGTTTTGAGGAAGAAAACCGATGTAGAAATAGCTTATTAACAAAATTTAATGATAGCCTACGCCAACACTTAGTCGACTTTTTTTAAAATAGAGTGATGAAACGGGGAGCAGGAATTGCCCTATCGCAACTTGGCTGTGAAATATATTGAGTTGAGTAATTTTTTCTGGCAAAAGTTCGTGTTCTAGGGAAATTGGTTTTCGCGCGGTTCTTTTCAATGACTTTTTGGTCAAGCGGTAAAACCAAACGTGAAACAGCCATCAAATTGTCATTGATGCGTTTTGCTTGTAAGATGGGTTAAGTGAAATCGGTCTTAGGACGCATCTTAGCTAAGATCGATCTTAGAGCGGGGACTCATCTTGAGTTCTAAGATGAGTCGCAAGATAAGACGAGATTCGTGAAATCGGCCCCTGGTGCCTTGCACCAAGTGGGGCGGCAAAGCCGTCTTCCCTCGCGAGAGGGGCAGGCAGCGCAGCCAACTACCCCACAAAACAGGTGAGACGAAGCAGTGTCTTCTTTTGTGTGAACATTTTATATGTTTGCCGTCTTTTTTTCTAAAAAGCGCTTACCGGTACACCTCACCTTCAAATTTCAATATTGCAGTTTTATTTTTTGTCCCCCTATATTTTTGTCGGATGCCCCCCCCCCCCCCCCCCAGGCTGTTAATCCTATTTGTTTTTCTTGCTTTGAGTGCTCTATTAAACATATGGAAAAAGAAGCAAAAAAAATTAAAGAAGTCACTGCCAACATTTGTAATAACAATTTTTGTTGTACACAGAGTGACCTCCTTAAAGGGAAAATACAACATTTGCAAACATCAAAAAATAATACTACCAAATCATTTTGAAAAACCTTGCTGGACTGTTAGTGAATGACAGTGTAAAGCATCCTGTAAAATCATGGCACCTGGTATACTGTCATTTTCAAGAAAAGTGGTATTTTTGTATCAATTTCCAACGCTGATCGGCCGATCAGCGTTGGAAAAAACTGGCTTTTTTTCAAATACTGGCCCCAGTTGACCATCGCACTTGTTTGCAATCGATTACACACCTATGAACGGGTACAAGCCAGCTAGACTGGTTCCCTGACCTTACAATTCCCCAATATATGTAAACTGCTCTGTTTCTTCTTAAATGGAGTCAGGGAACCAGACTACAGGAAAATGATTGTTTTTCTTGGTTTTTATAGCCTTTTCGAACCCAAAACCTCAAAAAAGTCAGTGTAACTATATTTGCTATATATTTCCAACCCCCCAATTCCATCCATTTCTGAAAATTACAGCAAAAGCAAATGATGTATATTCCCTTTAAACATGTACATGTACATATGTAGTTATCTAAAATGTGTCACGATGTTACTCTTGATCTGTTACATGGTACCCTCTGGACATGTGCACAAGTAGGGAACGAAAGATTGAATACATCTCCACTTCATGGAAAGACCTGTGTGTATTGAAACACAAACGTTGATACGGGCATGCATCTGTTTGAGCTGGCAGGAAAAAGTAATAAAAATAAATAAAAAAAAAGAAAAACTCCTCAGGCCAAGTGTAGCTATTTATACTTGCTATCTGCCTGCTGGAGTCTACTCACTCAGTCCCTGATAACAAGCTGATAACAAAAAAACAAAAACAAGACAGGATTAACAAAAAAAAAAGCCTTTAAATAAAAATCTACTTGAACATAATGGTCTAATCCTACACAGTTCTCGTAATGGAGGTTATTTTTTTTTTGCCACGGGGTGACCTATCGTGAGCTCAAACGTGCCTAATGCGGCATGCCAAACAACAACTGATGTTGCAAATTGCACATCGCAAGACTATTTGATCAGCTCAGGCATTCACGTCAAGCTGGACCTTTGAAAGGTTATCCCATGTGAGCAACCCTTGAAATTGTTGACCAGCTAGTTTAAGGTTGATTTTCTTTGATAGGGAAAGAAGAGGGGATGCTTTCTGCATGAATGTTTTTGAGTGTGGAGCTGACAAGCACGTCCTGAAAATAATGATAATGGGAAATGGGTCATCAGGGAGACTTTCCCATAGACTTGTGCACAAAATTTAAATGTGCCTAACCCAATATTCCCTTGTCCTTTTTTCCACGCATTTCCGTATGCTTACTAATTAGACCACGAGCAATAAATATAACCTAATTGCGACAATAAAATTTTGCCACAAAGGGGGGGGGGGGGGGGGGGTGACATTAATAAGGAGGCATTTAAATGTCTCCCTAATGACTGATGTCTCCCATCGTGCGAAGAAATCACGATAACGTGTCTCCTTAATGGTACCTTTACACGTATTATAATTCTACCGAATGCTATAATAGGGCGACTTTCTCATAGACTTGTGCACGGACCTAAAATGTCGCCTAACCCATGTTTACCTTACCCTGCCTCCACGAATTTCGGTATTCTGATGTTTCAGGCCACGAGGAATTGATCTAGATGGTTTGCAACAGTAAAATTCCCTCTCCTAAGGGTAGTTTTGACAAAAGGGCGACGCCAAATTGTCACCCCAATAAGGCGTGTCGCCCTCATACAAAGAGAAAGCAAGATCTGTCGTCTGTACACAGTAGGCCTATTCAGTAGTTTAATTGTCCTGATCAGCATTAAACGATCTTCTACTTAGTTAAAGCTATAGTCAATTATTTGCAGCTATCCGAAAAGTAACTGGCGTAATTATTGTTGAAAAATATACTTGGTTGAAAGATAGTAAGGGGACTAAACTCCCTGTGAAATTATTCTTTCTGGCAAGCTGTCATTTTGAAGTAATCAACAAAAGAGGGCCTTTGCAACGGTGCTTCTTAAGACGCACCGTAGGAAATTTAAATTAGTAGTTCGTTTTGTTATTCGGCGAAGCGCGTGCACGCATTGGCACGATGCACGCGCGGTTGCTATAATTCGTCGGATCAGTGCACGACAACGCGTAGCTGCAATTGGCCAGTGAAAACGAGTCTGGGACGCTGTATTCAGGCCCAAATCAAAACATGATTCAGCAAATTTTGATTTGAAATTGAGATCTTAGAATGCTGTTTTTCTCGGAATATACAGCTGAAGCTGAGCTGAAGCTTCATCAGGTTAGTTGTTCAGTACCCTTCTTTAGATTTTGAGCACTTTTGTTGCTTCAAACGGACAAAATGCACAAATTACAAATGATGGACTATATCTTTAACTAAATCACTGCACTTAAGTTGCGAGGGAGACCGTGTTGTTTTTCCAGATCAAGCATGCAGTATCTGTTATACAGAATTATTAAATTTTATGGGCCTTATTCATGAGTTGACCATTTTTGTCGCGTTCCCTGAATGTATTTCATTAAGTGTTAACTGTTCAATGGGATGACGCCAGACTATTTTTGCAGGCACAATGCAGCCTTAATTTACTGGGGTTTTTTTTTTTCAATCTGGCTTTAAACATTCCAGAATTTTTAATTACAAATTTAAAATTATTCATTGAAGCAGACTGGAATTAACTAGGAATTGACTTGCTTTCATTTCTCTTCGCAAGTTCCAAAAATTAAGATCTTACCTCACTTTCAATTCAGTATGGCCGACTCGTGAATAAGGCCCATAGCAAAAGCGATGTTTCCTTGATGTATGCAAGGATTGTTGACACAAATAAAACAGAATAAAGAAATTACCAATATTTTTGCCTTTTTAAATTTTAAGTGTCCTCCATTCATGACCATGAATGCACCTTCATGTAATAATGGGCTTCGTGCGCCTACAAAAGAGGGCGCTGTACCGGTATTACCACTTTTGGAAACCCCGTGGACGGGACACACTGCGTGTGCGTACTGGTTCGAACGCGTATAGCGTGAAATACATACGCACGACTTAATTTGTTCTGAATGTGCACAAAGCCATATAGCGTCTTCGAGTGAGCGTTGGGCGTTGTCGGCGGTGCATTTGAATGTTACTCCAATTGATCTCGCCAACTCTCCCTTTCTTGCCAGTGAGGGGGTAGTTGTGCACACAGCCCATAGAGTTTAGCAATCTTGGGCAAGAACTCACAAGAACTACCGGTATTGTTGACCAGTGGTTAACCATAGTTTGATTAAAGTTAGCTCGAACTCTGTCTGGTCGACGATGGTTGACTATGCTAGTCGACTATTTGGAACCAGCCTACCAAGGCTGGTCGCGCAGCGATGTATAGCTGGTTATCCATAGCAATTTCCATAGCATACTGCAGAGGGGACCAACTATCAACAAAAATGGATGGAAAATGAAACTGTGATCGCTAAAGGTCATTTTCATTGCACAGTTTTTCCATGTTAGTTTGCGAATATGTCACTTTTGTCACCATTGTACAATAATATTGGCGATTATGTGAGGTGTGCAAAACAATACACAATAACTAGTTTTGTGAAATAAAGAGAAACAACAAGAGTCGAATAATTGTGCGACCGCCATTTTCTGACGGTCATTGACATGAAAATAGTTCGACTAGAGTCGTTAACACTTCAACTTCAGTGCACATGCGCTAGGCCAAACCCAAAAAAGTTTCGCTTCCGATTACATGGCATTATTGGGTAGGTACGGTACCGGTAGATAGGGAATTTTCGGGGAATTTTTTTTGTGTATGATCATATGGAGGTGTCTGCATGCAGTCAAGCGCAAAAGGTAGTAATTCATGGTTTTGGGTGTTTCTTTTCTCATTTCCTCCCCCCCCCCAAAAAAAAATTAAGGTAGGGGC